AGACAGATGACAAGAATCTTGCCTGAGGCGTAGTTCCACCTCAGCATTTTCCTTTTACCTTCTTGAGGTTAGGGCAGCCTGGTGCCCCCTCCGTGTCACCAACACTACTCCCTAGAACCTCACTGCCGGCTCCGTCTGTCCTCCTCCTCCTCGGGCTGCCACTGGGGTCCCATGCAGGGCTGTTCTCGAAAGTCTCCTTAGGATGGAGCCTTTTGGAGGCTGCTTTTGCTGAGATGCACTCCGGGCCCTTGTTAGTCACTTTTTCACCAACCTTTGATTTTGACTGGATCGCGTCTGACCTGAGGGATAAGCAGAGACTGAGTGAATGAACTGTTTGCCCTGCTGTGTAGCCTAACAAATGGACACTTATGGGATGACCATGAGGGCCCTGGTTTGGAGAAGGCATTGAAATAACCTGGAACCAATGGTTGAAAGCTAAGATTCATGGGTGTGAGCATTTAAATATTTCTCTCAGCAGATTCCAGTTTTTTTAGTAAAGCAACCTACTGTGCATGCCACACCTGGTGATGTAACAGGGCCATACCAGAAACATAGGTAAGCCAATTCGGCTAAGTGATAAAATGTTATACAGGCATTAAAAGTCATGTTCTCAAGCATAGCTAGTGGTATTGAGACATATGTACAATATCTTTTGTGTCTGGGGAGCAGGAGGGGAATAGGATAGGCCAAACAACTATATAGTAAATTACTATAGCATTATTCACAATAGCCCACAGGAGGATACAATAAATGAATGAACAAAATGCAGATGAATGAACAAAATATTGTCTATCCATGCAACTGAACCTAAAAACAAGCAAGCAAAAACCAGTAATAGAACATGCTATATGTTCCCAATTGGGTTTTCAAATATAAATAAAATAGGACGAAAAACAAGTGAACCCCAAAATGTTAACAGTTGCTATGCATCTGCATCAACTCGATGGCAGTGAGTGAGTGCAATTATGAGTTAATTTTCTTTTCTGTATTTTCCAAATTCCCAAAGTATACTGTGCATTACTTTTACAATGAAATGCCCCCGCCCAATAAAGTTAGGTTACAAATGAAAGAAAACGGACTGTCCCCATGTCTGAGAAAGAGAGTGTGAGGCTGTGAATTACAGACCTTCTCAAACACATCACCACTAACATCTGAGAGAGGGGTCACATTAGGAGGTCCAATGAAATCATAAAGACCAGGCTTACTCATGGAACCCCCTAATCTGAAAGAACTCCCAAGTCTAAAGACCTCTCAGGTCTGGAACTGAACTTCACCCCCTAGGCTCAATTCTCAGCCAAATAATAGGTGCTCTTAGGGGGCTAATAACACTAGGGAGGTAAGCACTTCTTTGACTAATCCACCATGTGATAGCAAAAGGGCAGCCTTTCCCTAAGGGCAAAGTTCAGAAGGGTTAGGAAACTAGGAAGAAGGGAAACAAACCCAGGGAGAAGCAGTACAAGTAGTTGTGGGGATTGCAATCAAAGACAAAAAGCAAAAAAAAGACATAAAGCAAAAGGTGTTGGAATTGTTGAACAAAAAATTATTTTGCTTTGTAAACTGTCACCTAATTCACAAGTGAGAGGTTAAACAACTACCGTTTGGAATTGTCTTATTGTGAGAAGAGAATAAGGGAAGAGCTCTTCCTCTAGCTGATCTTTCATGTTCCAGTGCTCAGTGTGCCCTGTGTGCGTGCCACTGAGTTGTTACAGGATTGTGTGATGACTTTTCCAATTAAAGTATAGCCTTACCTGCTTGATGCTTGTGAAAGACACAACTGTGGCGAAGATGTTGTACTCGGTATGTCCACTAATGTAGCTAAAATAAAGCTAGCTTCCAGTAGCATGTCATCAATACATAAAGCCATAGGTCTGGAAATACAAAGTTAGAACAAAAATGACACTCGTTTTCTGATGAACGCTAGGAAAATGTTAGAAAATTACATTCTAGAGTTAAAAAAAAGTTGAAGTCCTATATATTTTCACAAATAAACATAATTTTAGGAGTTGGAGGGGCCCTTATAAATAAGTTTCA